AGCAATTTGTCATGTGCAGTCTACTGAGGCCCTTTACATATTTTTATGCCCAGGAAGGAAAGAAACATATTATTCATCCCATTGTTTAAAACATAATTACGATGACAAATAGTTCTTCTGACTTTGTATACATGTTACAGAGTATAAAATCCAGGCATTCTAGACAAGCATAAAATGTAAGACCTCAATTATTTTTTCTACACTAAGATATTTTATAAAAGTCCTAGATATTTTATAGAATGTATCATCATCGTCATCATCATCTATGAAGTAATACAAGTACTTATTAGTGTAGCAGGTGATTATCAGAAAGCTAAATGCCTCTTTCAATTTCTGAATCCATTATTCATTGCAACAGCTACAACACACTGCCAAATTCCATCTGGTGCTGTACACAATGCCTAGGCAATGGGTAAAACAATAAACCTTTATGTTTTACTTGGTGTTACAAGACATTCTATATAATACCTAAGAATTCTATATAATATAAAATTTCATACTTTGCCTATAATGTACAAATGCATGAGTTCTTATTTTATTATTTTGAAGATTCCCAATAAGCACAGCAACTTAAAAATACTCACCATTTGCTTCTGGAATCAAACAATTTGAATTCTCTAAATGCTTCTCCTGTGAACCACTTTAATGCACCAAAGACTGCTGCTAAGCAGCCTGAGGCAGATACTGTGGCACATAAAAATTTAGTGCTGTAATTGCTGATATTTTAAAGACTATTTCTGTTTACTTAACATCTTGGTGGCAATTTTCCTCACATTCGTACTCATATAAAACATTATTATTTTAATTATAATTAGGAAAATATCTGTTCTCCAGAAATATTTCCTTAACACGGTCAATTCAATGTACAGCATGGTCTCAAAATATCTTGTACTTTAGAGAATTTGTTTAAATTTACTCTGATATTCTTTTTATACACCATAAAATCATACAAATAACTAATATGCTAACTGGAAAGTAGGGCAGGGAAGGAGAATGCATTAGGTTAGCAGCACAGAGAGGCACAAATCACACATGAAAACCATATTTTGTACTAAGAAAATTGACCATGTGCAAAATGTTTGGTACCACTGAGAGAAGAATTCTGGAAACAGCACACAAAACATTATATAACCTATGGCATGGTTGATACATCACAGAATAACCTAAGAACTAATAAAAAAAATAGAAATAAAACAGATATTACAAGTTTAAGATTTTAGATTCTCACAGTAGTGAAAGGGTTGATTATCATCTTATGGATTATGATACAATCACATAAATGGTTACTAACATTTCAGAGGAACTTACTACCTTCATCTGTCTGTCCTGAAGATGGAGATGACAAGTTCTTCAGAAACACTGGCAATCACCTACAAGACTGCACAGTGTCACAATCGAGAAGACCAAAGTCGGCATCAAAACGCTTGCTGCATTTTGATTACTAAACACAATGAAATGCTCAAATGAATGACCTGACTTGCATACACAAAGTTACTTTATTTCATGGAGGGAAAACACATTTGCATCTGGTATACAGGCTAGCTGTACAGCGGGCTGACTTATTTTTGATAAACCAATTCACCAATTGGCAATATTCATAAGATTCATACCATGCACAGTTATTATGCAAATATGTACAAATCATCATTCTAAATAATGTAAAACTTAAATACATCAAATATCAACATGATCCCAAATAAAAGTTCTTCACAACTTGTGACAATTCTGTTTTGACTATTCTCAACATAACACAATTATGATGCAGCAGAAGTCATTTATTATACCAATTTAACATCTAGATTGTCAGAAATTAAATTACTGTTACGCACCCATTTCAGTGAACTAAACTTAAGATACGTATATAACTAAATACCAGTACAACTGACTATGAAGGCTTATTAAAATAAAAATGCTTCTGCAGCTTTTAAATTATGTTTCACCATAAGTTCTCAGTAGTTGAAATAGTTGTACACTTACTGTAAGGGTTTGTTCATACCTAGTCATAATAAGTTTTGATGCAATGGTGCACAGAACTTACGTGGATGGATTATTGCACACTATACAAATCAATCACAAGTCAAGGCTGCCTAGCTGGCTTGAGTGGCAGTGCATTGAATCTCTGGACTCCACACATTTTACTTAAAGGAGAACTAAACAAAAAACCAAGTACAACTTACAGAATCAATTTAAAATTCTAACACACTATACTGAACAGGATAGATAGTGTTGTCATACATAATATTGTTAAAGGTTAAATATAAGATCAACAGTGGTAAAAATAAGCATATTCAGTTTAATTCCAAGTGTAACATAAATTAATGACGCACATGAGGCTCCAAAATATACTCCGAGTTTTGGATTACTGACGTTTCAGACTTTGTCCATACCAGACGATGGATAAGTTGACAGCTCAGTAATCCAGATTGTAATACACCATTATCACAACCCTTTTGAATTGACTTAGGGTTTTGTTTTATAATGAACATTCTAATATGTCCAATGTCACATAACTCCCATCTACTGTAAAAATACTTAAACATACAGAGTAACCCGCCTGTGATATAGGAAAAGAAAGTATCAAAAGTAAACAGCCAATATTAAAGTGATCAAATACACAAATAACAAGCCAGCTAGCTGAAACCTTTTTAAAGCTAAAAATGCCACTTCTTCTGGCACTTAAATGTCAACATATTAAGAAACTAAAATTAACCGAGATCCAGTCTATCTTGTTTTACACATAATCTCTAAACTTTCTGCATCAAAATAAAAATAATATACAACATTCTTTTAAAAAGTTAAGCTCATTTATAAAACTAGTTCACCAAGACAATAATAAAGAATTACTTTCCGAATATTTGATGCAAATAGCAATTTGCTGTTAAAAGCAGGCTGCTACTTGTTTCTGATTATTGTTACTTGAAGAGATGAATGAGATTGGTCTTGCCAAGTGTTTTTAATGTTCTTCAGCAATTCAGTATGATTCCCTTCATCTCCTAAATCATGAATACAAAATTACAAGACTAATCATTTAATACTGCAAATTATAACACATGATAAACTACACCTAAACATAATTCTGAACATTGGCACTTCATATTCACTGATATTTATGGTCACAAGCAAAGGAAAATAAATGGGCACTTAATAAATTATCCATAACCCAATTTCTATCACATTTCTGCACTTTCAAACACAATATTTCACCACAATTGTATATAAAATACAATCATGTATTCTGTAAATGTAATTTCAAATCCCTTCTTTAGTTTTCAATATTAACCTACTACAGCACTTAATTAGTCTTGAACACTCATTTATCCCTTCAATATAGACACAATTCATCAGCTTTTATGAGTTACTAAAAGTACAAGAAGTAGTTACTGCACCAAAACCCCAATTCTCCCCATTGTACTGACCATTTTCCAAACCCTAATTAATTAAAATCAGATGCTAAACATTCAAAATCACTATCAAACAAACTTTACACAAGGCAAATTAAATAATTTCTTTATAATTGCATATTTGTTTGTGTGGTTCTTTAATATGAAATGTTACATATAAAAGTTTGCCCCGCTACGTGTCGTAAAGGCACTTGGGGTGAGTGGAGGTATAGCTCCTCTCTATCTTGACCTCAGCACTAGATGGGGGTGAGTGGTCAGCATCATGCTTTACCGCTGGGGAAGGACCCCGGTACCCATTGTAGAGGAGGCTGGGTGGGCCCCAGAGCTGGTCTGGACGCAGAGGCTAGAGGAAAAATCCTCTGCCCCCGTTGGGGATCGAACCATGGTCATCCAGCCCGTAGCTAGTCACTATACTGATTGAGCTATCCTGGCTCATTAAATGTTACATATACATATTTTGGATTCAGAGCACTTGTAGATCATCTCATGCAGGTACTTTACTTTTACTTCTAAAAACTAAGTACAGCCAAACCCCATCAGATTCCTACATTTTTTCCACCAGTGGGGGTGATAGTAAATTGTAAGTTTCTTTTCTTTCACTAAGAATATCATCAACATAGAAAAAACTGATAGGTTTGCATAATAAAAGAGAGAAATAGTTGGCAGCATTTTGCTGGCTTGTACTGGGATATTGTTTCTTGGGGGCACGTGTCTTTTTTTCACCAACGCTTAACACTGCAATTTCCCCCATGTTAGACAAATACAACTGATTGTGATAGTCTGTATCTATGCAGTACTTCATTTCTTTGCTGTGACCAGCCTGACAATTATATTCCAACGAAGTGTGTTTATGTTAGTTACTCAGAGTGCGCAGAAAACACTTTCATTACAGAAAAGTCCACTATCCTGTCAAACAAAAGAAACAAAGGGGTAAATCTGCAACCGTTGTACCAGAACTTTCGGAATGTTAACTGTTACTGTATGCATCTTATTCTGGGTAACGTTTCCGCTTTCAAATCGACGACCCTCCCAGTAGCAGGTTCATTACTGTTAACTTCCTGGATTTGGAATGTTGCCATTTACAATGATCCTGAATGTTTAACAGCTAATTTCAACACAGCATTGCTACAGTAACATAAATGTAATCTACATAATACATTTTGCTTCATAACGATGTGATTTGCATATTGGCAGTGGGGATGGTCTTGTTTATAACTACCATAAAGTTAAAACCACTAATGAAGTATCAAGTAGTGTACAAAACTAGAAATATTATTGCATCATCCTCCTGTTCTTTCATGTTTTCTTTAGACTGACTGAAAACTGTATTATTTCTTACTGTATGATACATTTATCTGGCCACATTTCTATGCAAACTTTGTTATAGGAATGAAATTAAATAATTGGTGCTCCACATTAAAACCATATCCACTAAAATATTAATGACAGTACACCAGACAAAACATTCCTAATGAATGAAATGTCGCTCTAAACCATTTGGAGTAGCAAATTTAGTCTGTATAAAGTCTTATCATATTCTAACCATTCAAAAATAAAACCATAAAGTAAACGAAAAGGTACCTAAAACAATAAAAGAAATTATGGTAAATAAGCAGCTCGGACCAAAAAAGCCGAAGTGTATATTAACCACAATTCATGTTCACCATCTCATACATAACACATCTTTGCTCAGAAAATCACATACACTCGCGCGCGCACACAAATTGTAACAGTTCCCTTCCAATTTATTCCTCCTCCTATGAGAAAACTACAAATCCTACACAACACAAACTACAATGAGCTTATTATGAAATCAGTTTACAGAGTAGACAAGATCAGACATAGCAGAGAACCCACTACTGCTGTGTTATAGATAATCTGTCATTGTATTAGTGTGTATTTGGAAAAATGGCAGGCATCACCACCGTATTTACCTTACGGAATTCAACACTACATTACAATTGTTCTCACTGTTTCTAAACCACCGAGATCAAATCAAATATGAATATTGGTATACTCTTTCTGCAAGTTCAATTTTTAAGCCCTTAACTACCTTGCCTGCAGTACCTGACATGAATCTGTTACTGGTACCATATTAAAGAAAACTGGATGCATAATCACACTTTTCATAGTCTCAAAATATTCATAAATAAAAAGCCATACATATGACTATATTACAACTTTCCAAATGAATTCAAAATTAGTCATTAATTGCACAAATTCTACCACAATGAGGTAATATCAACCAAGAGACTAGTACGTAAACATGAAATAACACCAACATCCACAACGGCCAAAGGCTGTGAATACTTCTGAAGTATGGATTTTATTGAAGATGGCCGTCTTCAGCGATACAGAGCCATTTAGTCTGGTGTAAGTTTACCAATGTTACGGAGGTATATCAATGTCCTGATGATGGAGGACCTTAAGAATGACCATATACGTTTACCAGACTACATGGCAGTACAACCCAGAAGACAGCCATATTCACATCTGCGGCCATGAGAGCCTCAAATCCTACTATACATTCCACTGCTTTCCAGTTACCATCACATGTGTAAGCCATCAGGGGGAACCTGATGCAGGATTCTAAAATCAAATTAAAATTATCTGTGAGGTAACATAATATAAACTAAAGAAAGACCAGTTGACCTGAGCACTTGTTAAATGGCTAACAAACATAACTCTTACTTTTGAATAAACACATGCCTATGAATTTAATTCACAAAGTGCTCTTACATAACATTCGTATTTAATTTTGCATCTATAAGTAAAAAAATTTATAACAGGAATTTATTTCACTCTCATATTATATTTTCTCACTCATCTGAAGACATAACTGGGTCTATGGAATATTAATACAATTTTTATATATGACTAATAAGTACTGTACACAAATATTAATAGTTCTGCCCTTCAGCAGACAAATGTTTCAAGTCAAAATAATTAATTAACATTTAATTAAGTATATGCAAAATTTCAGGAATTAAACCGAGAAGCTGAGAATTGGAAAAACTGGTGAACTATTTTTGGGCAGAAGAATGGACCTGTCGTCAGACAGAACACTAGATAATAATAATAATAATGTTGTGTATTTCCTAATAAGAATGGTTTACAGACCACAGTTCACTGAAAATCAAATAACATTGTAAAACATTTTAGAACACTCTCGGGTTACAAGCCATGTCAGGTGGCTGAATGGTGAATAAACCATATCTTCTGCCAACATTTCGAGAACAATCTCTGTTTCCCATCAGTGAGCACTCAACAAAGGAACTGACTGGTTACCCAACAGCCCTGAGGATAAGAGCAGAGATTGTTCTTAAAACATTGGCATAAGATATGGTTTATTCACCATTCAGCCACCTGACATAGCTTGCAACCCGAGAGTCTTTCAACTTCAGTCACTGCGAAAGCTTCACTTTATAGATTTTAGAACAATTTATATTTTAAGAAAAATTATGGACATGTATAACAGTGAAATGCCTAGTAATGAACAAATTACAATTTATGATCTGATATAAGAAACAGACTGGGGTTAATTTTTTCACACAACTTTTCTCATACATAAATCTCCCTCATTTAAGTCTGTACTTGAATAAATTTGTGCAATGGAATATAAATAATTTAATGAGTGGGAAATCATAATTTTTTAGTGCAAAAGACAAAGACCACTATGTCAAAACAGTGTGATAATATGATATATTTGCCTATGAGTCACATGACTATGTATCCAGATAATGAAAAACTGTAGGGCAAAGGAAAATTATCAGTGTGCATGCTATACCAGCAACTGTGAAAGAGACCTGCAACAGGGCCAGCACAATATTGCACAGAAAAATCACTGAAATTAGACATAATGCAATAGTAATAGTGTAGTACTGATGATGAGGGTAGTGGTGGTGATAATAATAGTAATGCATCATGGTGCATTTGAAAATGTGCTTCAAACTGGCTCTTCCTGTTTGTTGTCATATATCAATGGCAGTGTAAACCAATTCATTATTCAAATCTAAATTAATGCACTGAATTTTCACCCCACTTTATGTTAGAGTACAATGTTGGTGATTCTTTCACATCTACCTATTTCTATAATTCTTGGAAACACAAATTTACAACTATACAGAGAGAGTTTGGAAAACATAAGAAAACTATTGTACTACATTAGGATTATAGAAATGTCAGTAAACTTCTTTACGCCTTATATTAAAAAAAAGACAATGTCAGCAAATGATATAGCTAGTCAGAATGTCAATCCTGAAGCAAAGTTGAAAAACCTTCCAAAAGATTTCATCCATGACCATGGTCATAACAGATATAATTACTTTAATAATAAACTGTGCAGTTATTCCTTATCTTAACAAATCAAGGGGTGACATGCGTCATTCATCCACAAGAAATCTAGTAAAAGTAAGAAATGTGTTTTTAAAAATATGAAGGATACCACCTCCAGCAAGATACCAACAGAGAAGCAGTCTGAAATACTAAAAGACCTGAAAATCAGTTTTCACCCAGTTTCCATATTATTTCAGACAAGCATATTTTTGTCATGTATGGAAACAAAGTTCTGGATATGTATCAACTAATATGTAACACTTCCTGTGATTATAATGGAAAAAAAATTGAAGAATTTTAAAATAAATGGCATCTATGTAGACTTTAAAATGTTATTTCAACTGACTTTCGTTCAAAAATGAAAAGCCATAAAACACATTTCAGAAATCGTACCAAAAATGAACTGTCAAAACTAAATACAGAAATATAGGTTGAAGATATGAAAAGTCTTGAAGATAAACAAATTATTTTGGTTGACAACAGTCATGTGGAAACAAGGAACCAGGTGAAACTGATCACTGCAAATTGGCTACTTTCAAGGCATCCCCTACAGATAGTTGAACTGTAAGTTTTAAATACATTATATTATGATATAAAACTTACATTTGCATCCCTTAAATGCATAATTTGATCATGAACATGCTTGTTAACATAGGCAGAAGGAACTATCTAAATAGAGCTGAAGAAAAAATACATGGCAACAAAATGATATATAAATCAGTCTTCGATAACAGAACAAATGTTAACGAAATAAATTTTTGTAAATTATTCGTAATGGACAAAAAGTATAACTCATAACAATAAGTAAGAATGCCAAAAAACTGCACTGCTCATGGAGAATGCTTTATTCTGTGAGAGATGTATTGTTTTAAAATTATATCTAATTACTGCCAGTACTCCTCTAACCAAGTTCAACTGAATGGTGGTGTACATAAGCTCAAATGACCAATGTATGATATAGGGTTCATTTACAGAAGTTGATCACCTAAATTTTGGACATCTACGTCATCACACTGTTTCAATATTGCTATTGGCAAAGTGCAAAACTATAATCAACATTTTACGTACTTCACACATTTCAGGCTCCTTTTACACATCTAAGTATATAAATTTGATACTTCTCTACATCTTACATTTTTAAATTCAATATCTTCATTGATACCATTTATAATGAGCAACATAGGTTCAAAGTGATAATGATCTTGTTTATACTTTCATCCTTTCACCAAAATTTCATACACAGCATCAATCACCCAGAAGTTCAATTAATAATATAATTATATACTTAAATACATTACTTTTGTTTAAAAAACTGTCCATCACATTATGCTGTGTCACTTAACACTGATTTTCGATGATGGATGAATAAGGCTGTGTGGATTCAGAAACTGCAATTTATTAACAAGATTCAATTAAGGTTGTGATCAGAGATTCACTAGAAGTTTTTTCAGCCTTAATAAATACAAACTGTCATATCACTGTTTAATTGAAGACATAGTGTACATTACCTGTAAGCAAAGTGGAGAGCATCCTTGATAACAAACATGACCCAAAATTGTAAACAAAGTCATATTTTTCTACTGTTCCAAAGCCGCCAGTACATCACATTCTACAGCAAACAGATATTGTTTCTTTGCCTAAAACTATGGAACTGCTGAAGAGAGGAAGAAGCAATACAAAATATAACAATATGCCACTTTACTGGTATACAACATAAATCAAAACTACTTTGTACACTTTTAGACCACTTAAATTAAAGAATCTATGTCAAAAACAGAAGTTTTCTGAATGCAGCCTGTCAAAGGTTGATTGATGAAGTTAAAGCTGCCTCAATGAGCATGACTGCTGCTCACTCAGTCTCTGGGGTTGCGAGCGTGCTTTCTGTTTCCAGTGCTACCTTGGAGCACCCTCCCCTGCTGCTACCTTCGTGGGATCAGTCCATTGGAAGAAGCAGGCACTGTGGGCGTCATTTCCAATTCTACCAGAAGAGGAAAATGATCTGCGAAGTAAATACAACTCATTTCACTACCTTCAATGTTACATCACACTCATTTGTTGCAAGATGTAATGAACAGACATTAGAAAGGATCCACTTCTGTCAATTCAAATTGGTTATCCAACCGTTGTGTCCAGAAAATGATGTTTTAAATGTTTCTTCACTTAACCCTTTAATGCCCAGCGGGAACTTTATAAACCACCTACTTCAGCAATCACTAACTCCATTTTGTATTTATGGGTCTTGTATGATTCTCAGTGTAAATAGGAATTACTCCCTCAAACAGCATTAACCAACCAACCAAGAACAGCGAATTGTAAATCGTATTGTTGGTTGTAGCATAATAGTCCTATAGGCAGTTACCAAAATTCTGGAGGAATGTAACATGTCCATCTCCATTGTAAAAGTAAGTCAAGATGAGGATGTGGGGAACGATAGTTTGGTAGCCAACGATGATAAAAGGAAGAAGGTTGGCAGGAAGGGCAACATTCCAAGGAAGCTCCTTCAACATTCCTACTTGCAGTCTTCTCACTCTACCCCTTCTGTGCCATCACCACTGACTGCCTTCAACTTCACCTTTCTTCCATTACAACCCCATTCCCAACTGTGCTGAGTTCTACCCTGAACATGAAAGTGAAATGTTCCTCCAAAACGTTGGTAACGACCAACAATACTACACATCCTACAACCTACAACATTTTACCACAGTGAAAACTAAAATCTCAAGACTGGGCTTATTTACCTGATGGAACATGTGGATGCGGACATCCTACCACTTTGTTCTCCCTAAGCCATTCAGTAGCTAACGGTCCAAGCAAACCCAAAGGAGTCATGCTCTGTTTCGAGTAGAAGATATAATCTATAATACCCTTAAAATCAAACCTGCAAACAGAAATTATACATTAAAACTGTACTTCCATAAACATACATGATCACAGACTAAAATGAGAAAGCATTATAATTCAAATGAAAAACAGAAGATAAACATAGGTGAATTTAAAGAATAATACGTACGTGTAGTTGGTGAACGGCATAATGTCTTCACTGTATGCTGATGCCAGCTTGAAGGAATGTGTGAACTCATTTGGTTTGTCACAGCCTGAGATCTTTTGCAGGCAAGACTTATAGGCAAGGGACTTGAAGTCTTTGTGGTCTGCAGGTACGCGCCCCGAAGTCAGGAATTCAATCACTCCTACATATAAATGAAATCAGTTACATACTAACCCACTCTGAAAATTAAAAATGAGTAGGTCAGATTTCCATTCTCTTTTGGATATGATGTTTAAGCAATTTCTATTTTCATGAAGATTTCTGTCTTCTGGGTTGTTGCGCCGACTAAACAGCGCAACAACCCAGAAGACAGAAATCTTCTTACTCACCGCTGTGAAAACCTCAAATCTTACATTCTATTTTCATGTTGATAAGAAATAATGTTTTCATCAACTATCGTAGTTAACGTCAAAATATATTTGTTTTTAATAAATGAGACTGTTACTAATATGTTTATAATCCATAATAGTATTTGTAGTAGAAAGCTATTAAAACATGTTTTAAAATTCATGTTCCAACATTTTAAACAGACTATATAAAATTACTAAACTGCACTGAACATGACTGTAAACTGAATGACAGTAGAAAGTATAGATGATACATACAAATACTGACCATAACTATACAACTTACCTGAATCAGGTAATGAGTTGAAATCTCCACATAACAATAACTGGATATTATTTGTGTCGGGTTTGTGCCCTGGACGAAAACTGTGACTCGCCTCTTCTAAAATACTACGCAACTCATTGGACAACATCATGGTCTGGATTAACTTGACATCACAGAACTCCGGATCCCAATGAATATGAGCAGTACAGACCAAGATGGGCTGGTGAACTTGGCTCACGTCTGGTGGAAGTCCTGACAACGCAGTACAAATAATTAATCACCCATAACATCATACATGCAACTGTGCGTCTGTCAACTCTTGCTAATATAACTTCTGAACCAAAAGATACATTATGGTGATATTTTGTATGAGCTCACACCATTTAAGGCCCAATAACCTTTCTGCATTTTGATTTTCTATGTCCATACAGATTTAAAAAATGTGCGACTTTCGTAAAGTTTTCTTTGTGGAAGGGGGTGAGTGGGTAGGAGAATGTAAAATATCATGTGACAGCCTTTCAAAATCCATGTTTAGCTCTTGATATGATGTTGATAACTGACAAGCAACTACAGCTAGGCAAGTGACATTTTGTAAGAATGCAGATCATAAGTATAACTGCAAATTCTGTGCAGACTGACAATTACAAACATGAAAAATATCTACAGTTATACTGGACAAATTTAATGAAGCAAAAATGTGTAATAATCAAAATTTTGTTCATAAATCACTAAACTACATAATTACTACTTACAGTTCTTGGTAGCTTCACCATACAGCTATAAACAACTGAAGAACAGAAAAGTCATGTCTTGGGTGAGAAAACTTTGTGATCTTTTACATAATCCTGATTCTCGTATCCTTCCTTTCCCTTATGTTTAGACCGGGAAAATTGAAGAACCAATTGTATGAAGCAGCACAGTTATTGAGAAGCTGATTGTTTCCCCAACTGCTAAAAAAATTCCCTAACTTTCATGAGACCCAAAAGCTACCACTGGACCCCACCGTAAACCACTTTAATTCGGTTCCACGTCCTTACCCTGTTCCTTTTACAATCCTTCATCATTACACCTGTGTGTTAAGTATTGAAAGCAGAAAAGAAAGAATACTGCTGTCTGGTAGATTTCCACCTGGAACTCTATCAGACTACATGGTGCAACAACCCAGAAAACAGCAATCTTCACTGACTGCTGTGAAAACCTCAAATCATACATATTATTAAGAATTTGCTACTATGACTGAGTGATTATTAGTTCTTCCATTTAACTGAATAAAACTTGGGAGACCTGAGGTTATCATGGTGAAGATAATGATGCTCATTCAGTCGGGAGGCCAGTGGACTCACAACCAGCTGGACCATGCTAGGCCATGATGCAGAGGCAATAAATGTTAAACATCTCCCACATCACAAAGTCCCACACAATGTGACAACCCAGTATACGCCATCTTCATAGGGATTAGTTAGTATGTTGTCCTTTGGATAATGAAGCAGTGTAGCGTTGTTACCAGTGTTTCAGGCAAACTTATGTCCTCTACCTTCCATCAAAAAAACTACTCCAAAACATTGGGAACCAACTACTAGTCTACATAATGTCATAACAATAAAACCAAATTGTAAAAATTGTAGGTGACTGTTATTTTTTCAGTTTCTCAAGGTGATGTGTGAGCAATTTTTATGCATGCATGGTCACACAAGTTCAAAGTGGAGGACAGTTTAAATCTATGTTGAAGAACAGAGACTACAAAAAGTCTCTGTAGCCTGTTTCAAGGATTCTTTGGTGCTCAGTAAAAAAATAAAATAAAATAATGGATCACAAAGTTGAAATATCCCTGTATTCAGGGTGTATAAATTGTAAGCAGTACTACTGATAGTGTTGTTACTAGTTTAGTATAAACCAAGATAGTTATGCTCTGTGTTTTTGTTACCACGATTATATTCATTCAGAGTTACCAGTAGCTCTTCTTCTATATTGAATATTACTCTACTATTTTCATAATATATTGCAAAAAAAAATTCTCTTCTGAAAACAACTGTTTATCACCACAGTTTATGGTCTTTTCAGACCCATGGTGATATTATAGCAAAAAATTACCACTACTAGTACAAAAACAGCTCTTTATCAGAAATGTGGGTCCTTTCATTTCCTTAGATCATAAAATGCACAACTAGCTTCACATCTGGCTACATACTAATAAGAAAAGAGCACGCCATTATAATATAACAGTGATGTGTGATTCTATGCACATTAACAGGTGGGCAGCCAACTTATGGTAATCATATAGAAAGAAAATGATTACTCATGACCAAGAGACAATCTTAAATTAAGCTAAGTAGAAGCGAGTTGAGAGTACATAAGGTACAAGACACATACCAACCTTAATTTTAATATGAATATTACTGAAATATAGTTGTCAGGAACATCTAAAATATTTACTTTCCTGTATATGATATGTGGGTTGTGTGAAAAATCAGGACAAACCACCGACTATAGTTTGATAACTTTAATACCAATAACTCAGTGTTACAGGATGTAAGATGCCATAAATTCTCACAAACATACCATGCCACTGTTTAAAATAGTGACAATTATGAACATAAGTGAATTATCCCATTCAAAATTGAAGTATTTATTACAAAATACAAAATAATAATTAAATGAAATTCAAGTACTTGTGGGTTATCGGGACACATCGCTTTAAAAATAGGTTAGGTTAGGTTAGTTGTCATTTATTGAAATAAAATATAATAACTTTCAAGTATATGTCATTTATCCACACACATTAACCTAACCTAACCTATTTTTAAAGCGACGTGTCCCGATAACCCACAAGTAACAAAATTTATTTTCAAAATACAATAATAAGAGCAAATGTTCCATACAAAAGAGCACATGGATATGCAATTAAAAGTCTTTGCTGAGCATCGCCTGACATGCTAGCAAAGAGTTTTGATGCTGATAAGCTACTCCACATTACAGCTAGCACTGCACACATGAATCCAAGTGAACTATAGAGAGATGAGATAACACCAAGAAAAGACAAAAGAACAACAGGTAGAAGACAATAACCAAGAACTGATGCAACAGATCCAAATGGCAATATCCCTTCGGCTGTCATAAGTGTCAGCAAAATATACATAGCAATGCAGCTCACTATAACAAGGCCATAAACATAACCAAAATTAGCCTTGCCCCCTGTAAGTAACAGACAAGTGCCTAATATAATGCACAATGCTGCTGGTCCTGCTAAATCTGTTTCATACAGCAAGTTTATATCAAAATGACCATTACTGTGGAACGGATTCAAAACTGCCAAGCTCTTTTCGAAAATCCGATTCGGATTAATTCCAAGTTCTTCAAGCAGAGGCGGTTCTTCTGCAAACTCACACTCCATACCTTCAGGCTCGGTTAACGAAAATGAACGAGTATGGGCATCATAAGCACCCTGATTAGACACTCCTGGGTTCAAATTCGACATATAAGAATTGTTGGTAGTGTTACTAACATCCTCCTCATACATTCCTTCAAGTGTTACGAAATTTAATGTCTCCGTATTGACTTCATTTGTATCAAAATCACTGCGATACGCTTGGTCCCACGAGACTGAACTATTGTCACTTCTCTTCTTGTGTCCAAACATCATAAAATTTTGCACACACAGCTTGTTTATATCTTTTGATAAAGCTCAATAATCGAATTCTTCCAACGACAATTACAAACAACCAAAACGGAAGTCAGTCTGCTACAGAATGCCGGTTTGTCATTTGTTACGTCAGTTCTGTAAAAACATAATAGATGGCGCTGAATGATGTGGGCTGCCACCTGCCACCTAGACTGAACATTAAACGCGAGAGCGTCACCGTTGACACGTGCGATTGTGGTACATTTTCAACATGTGTTCTTTGAGACTGTATATAACTCACCGCTCGTAACATTTATACCAAATACAATGTTGCAGCCATACTAGGTTAAAATATAGCATCTGAAGAATGTTTATTATGCACATTTCCATAGCGTTACTGGAATTTCAATTCAATGTTTTCATTTTCCATTAACATTTTTTAAAAACACGATATCGTCTGTTTCAACATGCCTCATATAAGGAAAAGATTTCAATTTTGCTGATACAATAATCATTCTAACACATCAGTCAATTGAGTTTAAAACACTGGAAGTACATGTATTTGAATTTAAAGGCTGATGAGAAAGAATGATTTAAAAATTTAAGTTGAGGATACCATGTTATGAAATTTAAAACAAATGTTGTCCTTAAACAGACTGATATTTTGCATATTGGTATCAAATTTTCATACGCTCTCTCATTTTTGAGAAATTAAAATTCGATTTCTCTATTGAACCAATACAGACCGAAATTAAAGTTGCTCACATACCAAATTTCACTGAAAACCATTCACTGGTTCTGAATAAGAAACATGCAGTCTGACAAACACATCCACAAGAAGCAATTCAGTGCAACATAAAACACACTGAAATGTGACACCACTGAATGCACATATACACTCTTTGACAAACACTGCTTCAAATCACTGACATCTCAGAAGGCGACAGAGAAACAAGGAGTTGGGCTGCATTCAAAGCCTACATTCCTACTGCATGGGCTTTACTGGCTGCAAACCTCATGTTGTTGTTACGTGAACATAACATAACGTAACGTAAATTTATAAGTCAACGATAACATGGAATTTAGCCGATCAGTTTGTATGCTGGCCTAGTATACAGACGGTCATAAAATCCTAGTCCAGTAAGAACTGCTTTATCATGTGCAATTTTAAATTTGTTATAGGCCATCATCATCCCCACTCTCATCATTCTCCTTTTGGGAACTGTGCAGATTTTGTCAAGGCTAGAATAACTGGCTGCTGAGGTGGGTCGTACGTGAGAGATGTGCCGTGCCAGCTGCGGGATCCAGTCTGACCATTAATCGCACACCCTGTATAATCTAATTCAGAGTATGAAAAACCAACTCACCGTTGTCCCAGGCCGCCTCTTTGGTTTTAAGCAGTGCTGCAAGCCCGATGTTGTCCTTTGGCATAACTCTATTCAACATGTTATCTGAACCTTCGGCATTTGCCATCGCCAGTTGGTTGAATTCTACCAGATGTTCCTTGATAAGTGAGAATCTATAATTGAAGAGACATAGAGACATTCTGCTTTAGATTCATGAATCATTCATAATTCTTAATGTTCACTTAACGTTTCCTGATGGTAAAATATGTTAATTTAATTATACACTACATTAATTGTATTTATACTACTAATGTACAGCAAATGGATTCTAACCAACAAATAAAATAAAATCATCAACTGACATATCCAGGTCACTTCTCCTGATCAAAATGTCTAAATGAATGTGAAATAAAAACTTGTCCAGCTTAAACACAATCTTAACATTATGAGATGGTAAAACCACGGCAATACTTCCAGACAGATGTAACTCCTCTACAACTTTCATCAAATTATAATCAGCAAACAGCCTAAAAGTCCTGACTTAATATTCATACAATTCAGTTGAGGAATAGCTTAGATATAAAATAACTACATTAAGCCCATCACTAGACCCTATCCTGAACCATACGAACCCACGACATATCGTAAAATATTATTTCTTTAAGAGGTCAACCTTAATTAGTAATTTTCAAGCCGTAATGTTATAACCGGGGACAACTTACTGAAATTTAATGGTGCTTTATTAAAATGCTATGAACTTTTTATCAAACAGGTTAATAATCCTTTACAAACTCAAAACATTAGTAAGATATTTGTCACTGCCTTTGCTTGAGTGATCTATCAACACGACTTTTAATTTATCTGATTCTCATGCATGCCGCCAGTTAAGATTCATCCTATTTCTTGATTTAACATTCATAAAGTTAAATAATTGCTCACAGAGATGACAGTAACAACACGTGTTTTATGATATGTAACCATCGTTCATGAAACAGAGTAACACAATCCCTGCAACAAGGGTACGTGCACCACAGATGCTAGCATGTGGACAATGGGCAAAACCCCTTATGTATAAAACATAATATTCCAGCATAATTAACTCCATGGAGTACAGTCTTCTTGGGACGCTAATAACAATTTACATGAATGAAGAAACTTTTCACATTTTATGGAACCCAAAGGTTTATTACATTATTACAATGTTCTTACCTGTACAAAATAACATGATTCCTTGTAATGTTTACTCAATTATCGTGTTTAACTTTTAATGATGGCAGCTGACTACCATAGGTAATTACAAAGAGAAATCGGTTCCTGGAGTCGTACGTTTGAAGATGAAAACATTCAAACTCTCATCATAGTGTGCAGTAGTTCTGAATACTTCAGTAATTGTCAGGTAGTCATTACACACTCGTAATGACATACTTATTAAGCTGAGGTTAAAAACTTCGGCTTTGAGTAAGACAACCATTCAACATAACTTGAAAAATAAGTTACGAGAAAGCCACGCCCTGTCTTCCTTCCCCTTTGCAGTCTGAAATCATCTGATTGTACGAATTACCATCATGCACGTATTTTCATGACTCATTTTGAATCACGCGGCCAACGGGTCAGATTTCATCTGGTGATCCTTGAGTTAAGTCTTAAGTGTACTTTGTCTTCAACGGGGTGGGTTATAAAGCTACATAAAAAACGCAAGTACTAGTCACGGCAGCTGATTGAGCATTTGCATAGTTGTTGAGATTTTTGCCGTGATCGGTCTTGTCTATTGTGCGGGTGGAGGGAGCTTAGGAAACCTGTTATGCAATTAAACGCATACTTTGATCATTTCGTCATGTCTTTTTATGTCGATGTTATCAGTTCGTATAGGTTTAGTGTATCAGACCTAGGTGAATACCGCAAAGATTCCAGAGGAAGGTTAGCTTTCTGTCAGTTACACAAATTACAGAATCTTGACAAGAGCCACCCGAAGGTGGCGAATGGTACGAGTATTTCCGCTACATTTATATTTTTCTCTAAGCATTGTATAAAATGCTGCTTCAGTTAACATTTCCTGTGTTTATCTGATACACGCACGCGCGCGTACACACACACAAATGCTCTACTATCTTTCACAAACTGAACATATTCCTCTCTCCCGACCTATCAATATTCTTTTGTCTGAAAACAGCCATTCCTTCATTCCATCTTCTACTCGTACTTCCGTCTCATAACATAACATTACAGGTAGGCCTCGATTTACGCCGGGGTTACGTTCCACCTTCTCGCGGTCGATAGCTGAAGCGGCGTAAATCGAGTATTTAAATGAGATAAGTTCCTTCACTACGAAAATTGAACTATAAGAGTTAATATAAGTGTTTAATATTAAATATTTGTGGTTATTTTATAACTATGAGATATAAATAATATTTATAGATAAAATATAATAAAATAAAAATCTAACTTAGTACTTAGTTCCTGTAGAGCCATCTTCGGAGTATGTAGTAACGCCACTGTCTGCCCCCTCATTGATGTTCACTGACAGTGGCGTTACGGGGCGGCGTCAATGGGATGGGCCTTCTTATTAGAGCGCCAGAGAACAGGCGAGTCTTCACAATGCCCTTCATTACACGTGGATTCTCTGAATGGTACACCAACATCGGCTTTAACTTAAAAGTGTCTGATGCATTACCACCCACAGGTAATGTAAGCCGATCTCTTGCAGCCTTAAAAAACAGGGGCAGACCTCTCTTCATGGGCTATGTACGTCCTACCAGGCATCTTATTCCAGTACAGTCCCGTTTCATCAACATTAAAGACCAAGTCTGGCGGACGAGGAGAAAGCAACTGACGCCGACACTAGTGTCTTATTATATTTGTTTTTTATTATTATTATTTTAAAAGGGCGTTAATGTGAAACAACGTAAAATGAAGCGTCGTAAAGCGGGGCCTACCTGTACATACCTTAGAGATTATGTTTTCAAATTTTGAACAAATATTAACGACACTTTCATTTCTACACACAAGTCATTAGCGTAACTCTTATTGTATGCAGATAAGCTCATAAATATCTGACAGAAAATTTATGTCGAAAAATTCTGATTTACGTATCGAACTCCGCCATTACAGACGTTCTAGTTGTACCAACTGTTATATCAGAAATATGGCATTCAAAACAGAGATCAATTTGGAACATCACGAAAAGCTAAAAATAATGCGATTACATCACAGCTGAAAATTATACACCTAGGGCTAAGATATTTTGACATTAATAGTGAAAAGCCTAACAATGTTGGAACTTGAAAGTATCACGAGACAGGAAGATTCCTAGCTCGTATCTGTAACTCCATGTGTGGTATCTAGTAACTACTTGGAGCCAAACAGGCATTACAACTCGGAAAACCAACATCGAAAATTTCACCACCGTGAAAACTTCATACCGCTGATAACAGACGCTAAGAAGAGCGTAGAGTTTATTTTCTAAGGGCAGGAAGAAGATAAGTAATTCGTAATGTTCTTGTAGCGGAGAGACTAGACACAGATAAGAGAGGAGAAGAAACAACCTCCAAAAGATTAAGTTCTCTTTCTCTGTAAACGCAGACTTTAAACGTACAGAAGTTTTCAATACATGCATATACACATCAATGTTTACTTCATGAAGCACAGCTGTAGAGTCGGCACACTGTAATAAAATTTGAACACAACCAAACAATTCTGATACAGTTTTCACCAAGTATTTTAACCCTTTGAAACTAAAAGTTAACGCGTGTAACATGTATCCGCCAGGTTTCCTGAAATACGAAATACATAGACAATAATACGGTTTAGCTGAGGACATTCCATTCACCCCTCACGTTTCATCTGCAAGCCAGTCTAAAATCATTCTATTGCATGATGGAAACCTGTAAATATATTTATAAGGGCCCAATGAAATTTCAATTTAACTAACACTGACCTTTGGAAATAAATAGCATATTTTATAACGAATGCATAAAACAAAAGCACGATGGGAAAGTAGTGGCCTATCTCACCATCAGTGGGCACGTTCTAGGTGTGAATGATTGTTCTAAACGGAGTTTGACTGAATTTCCTGTCGTGTGGTTCTAACTCAAAAAGTTGCTGAGCAAATTTAATTTGGGTTCAAATTGATTCAGTACGTCTACTCTACAAGAAACGAACTTCTTCAATTTTCTCCAAAAAAGGTAATCGCAGAAAACATTAGCACATATAAAAAATATAAAGCATTTGTTCACAGGCGTGACTTCTGTAAATTGCATCATTTGTTGTGTGAATACAACACTTAACGAAGTCCTTTGTCATACTGAAGAACATTGAAATACGTTTACAGCGTAGCATATTACAACGTTAAATCAAATCTTCTATAAAAGGTGATGTAACTTTCGAAATAAAATCTGCCCTTACGTTTCGAGAGAAACTTTGCAAAAACACTGCAGCAAACTGTAGAGACAGAGACAGAACGCCCAGTTTGAGCCCAATTTACCCATTACAGAAAAGGGCAAAGGATAAATTTAAATATGACAACGCATTTAAGCGCGGTGGAAAGGTTAAAAATCGATATCTCGACATTATACACTTTTAAAATAAATTCCACAGCTGTAAGGCCGCAACCTTGCGCAACTTCACTTTTCACTAGGTTATCAATGGGAGATCAATTCTTATGCACTAAACGAAAAAGTTATTAGTCATTCTAAAAAGACTGAATAATAGGGTCTCTACAGGTTATACCATAGAACGAATTCATTAGGATATCCTATAATTGTATAAAGTCAATTCATTCATCACACATTTTAGTGGAACAAATGGTAAGGGGTAATTGTTATCTAGCCGGTCGCGATTTAAAAGGTCGGAAAATTTTTAAAACAATATTAACATAACAAGTGTATAGCTTTGTTAAAATGGCATAATAAATTTTCTGTTGAAATTACTCCGAGCCGAACGTCTTATACTGGACCAAGCTGTTCTAACGACACCACTGTCAACATATCCTTAAAGATTTCAATGTTATCCTGATACCATTCACAGTGAGCTCAACGCCCTTAGGTCCTGAGGATATACGTGATCGACACAACCATGAAAACAATTTACTGTCTCACAGGACGTTCCTTATACGATCAGCAGCCCTACACAATATTAAAACATCACCAAAATTATAAATAATGGTTGACGTCAATAA